CGGGATCGAGATTAGGACCGGGGTTAGGAGAGGGATATTGGGAATGGGGTCGGGGTTAAGGTCAGGATCGGGGCCGGGGCCGGTTTGCCGACCTCTTTTCCGGTTTTGGTCGCTGTGTTTTGCGGTCTCTCTGTTTCCCGGTCCAGCTCTCTGTTTCAGTCTCTCTGTCCCCGTCCAGGTCTCTATTCCGGTCCCGGTCTCTGTTCCTCTCCCGTTCTGTCTCTCTGTCCCGCTGTTCCTCTCGGTATCGGTCTCTGTTCCCCTTCCCAGTCCTGCCTCCGTTTCGGTCCCGCTCTCTGTCCCGCTCTCTGTCTCTTTCCCGTTCTCTCTGTCCCGGTATCCGTCTCTGTCTCGGTAGCGATCTCTGTCCCCCTCCCGGTCCTGCCTCGGTTTCGGTCCCTGTCCGGGTCTCTGTATCAGTCCCGGTCCCAATCTCGGTGTCAGTCTCTGTCCCGGTCCCTCTGTCTCTATCCTGGTCCCTCTGTCCCGGTGTCAGTCCCGGTCCCCCTGTCTCTGTCCCGGTTCCGGTAGCTCTCTCCGGTCACCGGGATGGGGCTGACCCCCGGCAGTTCCTGGCCGTGACAGCGCTGCCCTTGGCGCGCCCGTGTCCCGCTGGATTTGGGCACTCCGTGCTTGTTTTGGACCCTTCTGTTGGGTGAAACGCGTGTTTCGGAGAAATCTCATCCCTGGCGCTTGTAAACACTTTTTATTTTTATTATTTCTCCCAGTGTGGGTGAACACGGTGTGGGATATGGATTTCACGGAGACCGAGCCTCTGGAGCCTTGCATAGCGGAGGAGCTCACGGCCGATGGGCTCGACACCTTCACCCGCCTGTACAGCGCTCTGGCGCCCTTTGCTGCCGGACACCAGGAGAGCAGAGAGGTGACATCCCCTGAGCAGAGCCAGCCACTCCCACTTGCTCTCTTTCACATCTGAAACTGGCAAAATATTAAAAAACTATTCAAACAGTTATTGCTCTGTGTGCTGGAATGCTTCAGAAGGAAGCTATTGCCAAATTTTAATAATGGAACATAGTATTATATTATATTGATCATATTATGCTATAGTATATCATATTATGCTATAGTATATCATATTATACTATACTATATCATACCACATTATATTGTTATATATATTTTATACATTATGTATATTATTATATCACATATAATCGTGATATACAATATATCATTATAATGTATATGATTATATGATGTAATAATATATTTATGTTTATTATTACACCATATATTATATACATTATGTATATAATTATAGATATACATTATATATATTACTATATATTATTATCTTCTATATATTATATTAAGTATGCATAGTGTTATTAATATCAATATTATGTAACAATTATTAAATTTAATCTATTAATTTAATTATTACTACTCAGTCTATTATAAATAGTAATAAAATTAATATAATGTATATTAATAATTACAGTGTATTATACTTGTTAAAACACTTTTTAAAGCATATAGTATATAGGGTGTTGGTCATGGTGGCACCTGTTAAAATGTGAATAATGGTCTAGTTTTGGACATCTGTGTTATTATGGGATTCCTGTTTTTTCAGAATGTGTGGACCTTGTTTGCTGAGAGCAGCGTGTCCCACCAGGCCCTGGTGGCTGTGCTGCATCACTTTGTGCACGTGGGCCAGCACAAAAGAGCCAACGCACAGCAGAGGGTGTTTGCTCTGCACTCGGCTGGGCTCTACCTGCTGCTGCTGGAGATGCCAGGTGAGCCCTGAAATGTTCCTCTTCATGCCTGGGACAAGACAGGTCAGGCAGGGTTGGGTTTGTATCAATTCCAGGTGGAACAAGTGGTGGCTCTGGGGATTTCATCCTTGGGGATTCCACAAGCTGAGCATGGTGTGAGTGCTGAGCAGTGTCACTGGACACTGTCACAGAGGGGTTTGGTGGCCCCAGAACAGGTCTGTGGCCTGTGACAGGATGACAAAGGAGAGTACACCGAGCTGGAACCACACAGGTCCCTCTGCTTTGGCAGTCAAGGCAGGAGTTTATTTATTTATTCCTGTTCCTGCTCTGTAAGCAGGGAGCATTTCACTGTGCAGCACATTTGGATGGGTTTGCTTGTGAAAACAGAAATACCAGTTTAGAATGACCAGCAGCTGAGTGTTTCCAGCAGGTTAGTTCACAGCTGGATCCCTTTGCATTCCAGCAGCCCTGAGGTTTTGCTGATATCCAGGGCGCAGCTGGAAGGGGTCATTGAGCTGGTGATGCTGCTGGAATGTGTCACTGCTGATGAGGCATCAGCCTGGTGCACTTCAGGCAGCTCTTTATTCTTCTCTTGAACTTTCTTAGGCTCTGGGGCACCTGTAGAGAGATCATAGAACCACAGACTGATTTGGGCTGGGAGGGACCTTAAAGCTCATCTCATTCCATGGGCAGGGACACCTTGCACTTCACCAGTTTGCTCCAGCCTGGCACTGAACACTTCCAGGAGTGGGACATGATGCCCAGGTGGTTTGATGCTCTCTGTATCTTGTCTGGAACAGGACTGATGTTTGTCTTTCCTGAGCAGGCAGCATAGCCAACCGGATGTTCCACCAAGTGATGTTTGATAAATGTCTTCACACCCTGACAAAATGCTGGCCTCAAGAGATAAAGAAAAGGAAGAAGGGACAGTCTCAAAGCTCTCAGCCCAATGCCAGAAGGAACAGAAAGAAAGGGAAACCAAGCAGGAACAACAGCGCCAGTGTAAGATGTTTGTGCAATCCCTTCAGATACAAATCCCTAGTAATAAGCAAATTGTTGGCAAGCTGTTTCTCTTTTCTGCCAATACAGATGGAAGAGATGTTGGAAGAGGAGAAGGAAGAGGATGATGAGAATGTTTACCTCTCAACAGAAGATCTTCTCCAAGTCCGCAATGCCGTCTTCCTTCTCTTGAAAAACTTCCTGAGGCTTCTGCCCAAGTTCTCCCTAAAAGAAAAGCCTCAGTGCATTGAGAACTGTGTGCAGGTAAGAAAGATCCAGCTTGAGGAGCCTTATGTCCCCTAACCCAGACTTTTTGGGGATGCAGAGCGCTCCACATGGTAGAGGTGGCAGCCCTGCCTTCCATCACCTGTCCCTGATGGGAACTGGGAAGATGTGGGAGCAGGGTGCTGCTCTGTGGCTGTCTCTCCTGCTGAACACTTACAAGTGTTTTGTTCATGGAATCAGAAGGGTTTGGGTTGGAAGGGACCTTAAATCTCTTGTTCCACACTCTGCCATGGGCAGGGACACCTTCCACTGTCCCAGGCTGCTCCAAGCCCCATCCAACCTGGCCTTGGGCACTTCCAGGGATCCAGGGGCAGCCCCCACTTGTTCCTGGGGGACATTCTGTGCTTTGGGCTCTGCTTTTGCTCTGTTCAAGGGAGGTGTTTGAAAGTTAAACCCAGTGGTGTGAGCCCAGCCATCCAGAGCCCTGCACAGCCTCCCCTCAGGGCACTGAGCTCAGCTTGGCTCTCTTCCCTTGCAGGTCTTGGTTGAGATGACCAGCTTTGAGCCAGTGCTCCACGAGTTCCAGTTTTCAGCAGCCATGTGAGCAAAAAATTCTTAATATTTCTTAATGTTTACATGATGGTCTGAACAAGTAAAGCCCTCAGTGCTTGTGCTGTTGTCCTGTTTGTATAAAAATGGAAGTGACAAATTCTCTTATAAAGATAATTGGAATATGTTCCATGTGCTGACAGCAAACAGCATCTTGTGAATATTGAATGTTTCACAGTCAAAGAGCTCTTTTAATAGTCTTAATTTTTTTGTAGTCACATCTAATTTTTTAATAGTCACAATTTTACATTTTCATTTTCACACTCTTAATTTTTTAATAGTCACATTTACTCTGATGAGAAGTGAAGACATCTCTTTGCTTTCTCTCCTTAGGGATGTTAATAAAGCCAAGTACATTCCTGAGCTGGCCTGTTATGGACTTCACTTACTGTGCTCCCCTCTCCACAGCACAGAGCATAAGGTACAAGTTAAACAGAATCTTTAACATCCTCACAGCAGCATGGAAAAGGAGTGGTTGCTTCTTTCCCTCTCATCATGTCCTTTTTGCTTGGATGGTTTTTACTTTTCACTTCAGTTTCCCTCTTTGTGCCATCTTTGCTGGGTCAGAGCAAAGATGATTTTTTCCACCCCAGTCCTTATTTGCTGCTGCACTTGTGTGCAGTGAATTCTGTGCTCTGCTGACTCTTATGGCAAATTAATTGAAACCAAAGGAGAGCTGCAGTGGCACTGGGTCTGTGAACCTTGAAGAAGAGAGTTCCAGGTGGCTGCCTTAGCCTGGGATGTTGTGATTCCCTGCTAGATGGAGCTGCAGCACCGCCTGGCAGCGTGTGAGGGGCTGGGCTGTGCACTCAGTGAGGCTGAGCAGGGCTGGTTCTTGTTCACAGAACACTCTGGGATCGTGGTGCAGCCAGTTCTGCCAGAAACTCCCATCTGTATTTGTTTAATTGGCAAGCAGAGCAGGCATCTCCCCCTTAGCTGAGCGCTGCTGAAGGTTGGGTGTGCCCAGGCTGTGTCTGGGTGACCCCTGGGCTGGTTCTGAGCCTGCAGCCTGGAGATCAGCAGCTGTCTGGTCAGGAAAGCCTGGAGAACACACCAGCCTGGTTATTCCTGAGTGCCAGCCCAGCTCCAGCAGCCTGTGTGTCTCTGCCTCCTTGGTTCCTCAGTGCAGCAGGGGCTTTGCAGAGCTGTTGGCATTTGTGGTGACAGCAAGGTGTGGTCACTCCCCTTCCCAGACCTGCCTCATCTTCCCTGCCTCTCCTGCTTGCTCAGGGAATGTCAGGATCATGAGGCAAGCTGTGGTCCCAAAAACATTCAAGGGAGACAGCTCCAAGAGTTCAAGTACAAAACACGTATTTAGCTTAGGACATGTCCTGTGCAAAACCCAGTGAGTTTCCTCAAATTCCAAATGCTTCTGGCAAAAAGAAGTCCACAGGGGACTTTGGAGGGGGAACTTTGTCCACAGGGGACTTGTTTGGAGGGCAGCTGTAAATGCTTTCAGAAAGCCCTTCTGAGACCTTGCTGAGCTTGCATGAGAACATCACAGGTTCTAAACAAGGTGTTGTATGTGTTTAGAAAGTGTCCTCTTGGGATTTCTCTGCTAGGAGTCATGCTTTAACCTGTGCTGCTGGTTGGTTCTAAGCTTGATTCAGAATTATTTCATGACCCTGGAGTGCCCATCTGTCAGAACCCAGGAAATTCCTCTGGCTGCCCTGGAGGACTCGAGCCCTTGCCTGGGGGCCTCAGAGCCCAAGACCCCTGTGCCTTTGATCTTGACCCATGGAAAAACAATTACCAACCTTTATATGAAGAATTACAAGTCAAGAAAGTTTAAGTAGAATGATAGTCAATTTGTCACAGGGTGAAAAATAGATTTTTGAGGTTTTTAGAATGGGGGCTCAGGGTCTCAAGATGGAGCAATTTGGGCATGCCCTGTCCTTTTTCCTTCTTCTTCTTGGCCTCCATGTTCTGGGTGATGGTGGCACTTTTAGATTGGTTTAGAGTAGAAGCTCACTGTCTAACATAGATGATAGATATTGGGAAGTTATGGTAGATATTGTACATGTAGTTTTTAGTATAAAAGATAACACCAGTGTGCCTCAACCCAACCTGCCAGACAGACCTTGGTGGGTCAGAGAAAGAATTTTATAGATAAAAACAATAAACAACCTTGAGAAAAAGAACAGAAAAGTCCTGACTCCTTCTTTGACTGCTGAGCTAGGAAAAAAGAAGCTTGTAGATATGTCAGAGTCACTCTGACCAGCAGAGATTCTGAGACCATCCATGGAACGGAGCCTGCCAATTNCACCCTCATCCTGCTCACCAGCCTCCTGCAGGTGAGACAAAATGGAAATTTTCTGGATAGAAATCCATTTAAAGTGAAATGTACATTTTTTGAATTAAGTCTATAGCTTGCAAAGGAGTGCAGTGTAAAAACAGTATTGAAGAGCACTCCTGCCATGGGGTGGGAGAGCAGATTTTTCATTTTTCTATTTATTCTTCATACCTGGGGTAAACCTCAATGTGCTGCTGTGGCATTTATGCTGCTTAGAGCATCCTCCAAAATACTTGGGGTTGTTTTGGGGTTTATTTTATGTGCCCCTGGCTGAGGTTTTACAGCTTGTTCGTTTACCTGACTACAATTTGGAGGTTCACATGAAGTTTTCCTGGTTCATGTTGTTGATTTCTGCTGATTTCCACAGGAGGAGTTTGTGAAATGGAAGGATTGCCTCTTCTTTCGGTTCGTCAGTGTCCTGGTGGATCCAAACCCAGATATTGCCAGGTAAAAATCTCAGCTGTGAAATGATGGAGGAGTGAAATGAAGGGCAGAGATGTCTCAAAACCTGTCTCAGCCTTGGCACCTTCACACTGTGAAGAGAAATGCCATTGATAAAGTAGATTATCCCTCTAACCTCTGTACTTCCTTTAGGGTCTGCAGTGGTGGCACAGGGGTGATGAGCCTCTCCCAAGGACATTTAAAAGTCCCAAAGTGTCCTTGGCTGTCCTCAAAACATTCAGCTCTGCTCTATTCAGGACTCAGTCATCCAGAAAAAAAGGAATTTTTGAGACAGACCCTTGTGAAATCTTCCTTGTGGTTTTCAGACAGCTCTCAGGTGCTGGGTTTGTTTAAGAATTAGGATTAAATATTTTGCTGCAGTTTCCTTTTTCTTATATTGCATGCCTTTCCTTTTCAGCCTTCTGCCACATCTTGTAATTGTCAGAGGAATGACCTGTCAAATGATGTGTCAGAGGAATTATGCACTCTGATTTTGAGTGCATGTTTAAGAAGTTTTTAGAGGTTTCAGGGTTTCCAGCTGCTCTGTTTTGTGAGAAATGAATGGGGCAGGTTTCTCTCAGGTGGGGAGCTCATGTAGAAATTAGGGTTACAGAGGAGGATTGGACACCTTGCTGCTCATTTCTGCCTGGAACAGTCAATCTGAGATGGATATTTCCAGAACCATCAACCTTTTATCAATTACCATTCACATTTCCTTTTCTCTTCAGTGTCTTTTATATCTAAAAATGTCTTTCCAGTAGATGGTGGCATTGCAGCATCGTGTTCCTCCCATTTCTTTGGGAGCCTTTTCCTTTGCATCTGCATTTGGAGACAGCATCCAGACAAAACCACTTTCTCCAAGCCTGGGGTTGCCTTGCAGCTCTTGCAGGACCTTTGGTGATTAACTTGTTGCTGAGTGCTGTGTCTCAGCCATGGTGGAGCTCAGGTTATTTAAATAATTAAAATGCTGTGCCTGGATTCAAGTTCAGATTTATTTCTGAATAATAATAAACTCAGTTTGTTTTAATGGCCATAAACATGAGTAGTGCTGTGGATTCTGGAGGTGTCTGTCCCTCTGGAAATGTCTGTCCCTCTGAGAAAAGCATGGAAGTCAGTGAGCTGGGGAAGAATTAAATGTATTGAGGGAGATGTGGCAGAGGAAAACCATCCTCTTGCCTTGAGAGCCCTGCACAGCTTCAGGGGTGGCTTTGGAATCTATCCAGTGATAATTTCTTCCTTCTTCCCCTGTGCAGGTTTGCAGAGTTCTGCCTGGTGCATCTCTTGCTGAAGAGGAACCCTGTGATGTTCTCCCAGCACTTCATCGAGTGCATCTTCCACTTCAACAGCTACGAGAAACACCAGAAGTACAACAGGTTCCCCCAGAGCCAGAGGTCAGTTGAGCACATTCCTGGCTAATTTTTGCTAAATTATGGGCTGTCTGGCCATGCAGCTCTCAGTGACAGCACAGCATTTGTGGCACTTGGTAATTATCCATGCAAGTGCTGAGTTGTGTCCTGCCTTCCCCGTGACACTGCTGTGTGTAATTTGTAGGACTGTGTGCTGTCCTAGCAGGTTTATGGCTCTTAAAAGTGGCATGCAAATATCCCTGGCTGATTTAAGGTCTCATTATTCCTGGGAGCTGGCATGAAGTGATTTGGGCCTCTGTAAAATGTTGTGCTCTGCCACAGGGCGAAGCAGCTCTTCTCTCTGAAGGGGAAGGAGAACAAGGAGAAGAGGATGAGGATCTACACCTTCCTGCTGGACCATTTCACGGATGAGCAGAGGTTCAGCATCACCACCAAGATCAGCCACAGCATCCTAGGTAAGGGTTTAAAAATNTTTTGTCTTGGGAGTTTTGCTGTTAATTGCAGCCCCAAGATATGTGAACAGTCTCTGTTTCTGCCCGTGTGTTCGAAGAATGAGTCGGAGCTCTTCAGTTTTTGGTCTCAGAGTTGTTTATTATATCTTATCTATAAAAATTTTCCTCCTGTCCTGTCAGAACTCAGTGCATCCCTCTGGGTGTCCAGAGTTGCTGAGGACCCCACCAGGGGGCTCAGAGACCCTGGCACACAGCCCAGAGCACCTGGGGATTTGATTTTGACCCCTGGAGCGAGTTGCCAGCTTTGTATGAGGACCTGAAAGTCACACAGGTTTGAATAGTGTAATAACAAAATGGTCACAGGGTGAAAATGTAGATTTTAGGATTTTTGGTATGGGGGTTATGGGGACAAGATGGAGGAATCTGGGTGTGTCCAGCCTTTCTCCTTCTTTTTCATGTTCTCCATCTTCTTCTGTGATGTTGGCACTTTGGGATTGGTCTAGAGTAGAAGTTCACTGTCTAACACAGGTGATGGGTATTGGGAATTAAGTGTAAATATGTTATAGGTAGTTTGTAGTATAAAAGGACAACACAGAGTGCCTGTGGCTGCCCTGCTGAGCAGATCTCGGCTGGGCAGAAAGAAAATTTTATAGATAAGAATTAATAAACAACCTCAAGACCAAAAAGTGAAGAGTCCAGACTCATTCTTCAGTTGCACGGGCCGAAGCAGAGACACCCTGCACATCTTGGGGCAGCAATAACAACCAAAACCTGAGAGTGTCAAGCCAAGGTCAGCTCAGCAGGACAGCCTGAGGCACTCTGACCACCCCCGGGGTGGTGTTGTCTTTTTACACTACAAACTGCGGGTACAATATTTACAATTACTTTCCAATACCTATCACCTATGTTAGACAGTGAATTTGTGTTCTGAACCAATCCCAGAGTGCCAACATCACAGCAGAAGATGGAGATAGAGAAGAAGAAAAAAGGCTGGACACGCCCAAGTCTCTCCATCTTGTCCCCAAAAATCCCAAAATCTACCTTTTCACCCAGTGATAAATCTATTATTACACTACTTAAACTTTTGTGGCTTTCAGGCCTTCATACAAAGCTGGTAATTTGCTCCACGGATCATAATCAAATCCCCAGGTGCTCTGGGCTGTGTGCCAGGGTCTCTGAGCCCCCTGGCAGGGTCCTGGCAGCTCTGGGCACCCAGAGGGATGTGCTGAGTCCCAACAGTTTTGTGCCTCCACAAACCCTTGAACAGCTTAGAAAATGNAATATGTTATACGTAGTTTGTAGTATAAAAGGACAACACAGAGTGCCTGTGGCTGCCCTGCTGAGCAGATCTTGGCGGGGCAGAAAGAAAATTTTATAGATAAGAATTAATAAACAACCTCAAGACCGAAAAGTGAAGAGTCCAGAGTCGTTCTTCAGTTGTGTGGGCTGAAGCAGAGACATCCTGCACATCTTGGGGCAGCAATAACAACCAAAACCCGAGAGTGTCCGGCCAAGGTCAGCTTAGCAGGACAGCCTGAGGCACTCTGACCACCCCCAGGGTGGTGTTGTCTTTTTACACTACAAACTACGTGTACAATATTTACAATTACTTTCCAATACCTATCACCTATGTTAGACAGTGAATTTGTATTCTGAACCAATCCCAAAGTGCCAACATCACAGCAGAAGATGGAGATAGAGAAGAAGAAAAAAGGCTGGACATGCCCAAGTCCCTCCATCTTGTCCCCAAAAACCCCTATTCTAAAAATCCCAAAATCTACCTTTTCACCCAGTGATAAATCTATTATTACACTACTTAAACTTTTGTGGCTTTCAGGTCTTCATACAAAGCTGGTAATTTGCTCCAGGGGTCACAATCAAATCCCCAGGTGTTCTGGGCTGTGTGCCAGGGTCTCTGAGCCCCCTGGCAGGGTCCTGGCAACTCTGGGCACCCAGAGGGATGTGCTGAGTCCCAACAGTTTTGTGCCTCCACAAACCCTTGAACAGCTTAGAAAATGGTGTTTTTATGTGTGGTGTCATCTCCAGGGAGCATCCAGAGCTGGCTGAAGGAGTCTCAGTGTCCCCTGGAGGTGATCAGCCCGGCCGTGGAGACCCTGCAGAAGCTCTGCCAGGCCTCTGCAGCTGCACCAGAGGAGGCACAGGTGGGACTTAAAATACTCCTATTAAAATAGCCTGTTCCCCACTCAGGGGGTGTCTGCTGCTGTCTGCAGGCTGTGGGATGGATGATGAGTTCTAAAAAAGGGGCTCTGATTCCAGCAGCTCGAGCCTGCTCTGCTCAGCTCTGCCTCTTTGCTGCACTTGAAGAACATCCTGGGGCTAAGCCTGGCCTTGTGAGAAATCTTCTGCCTTCAGATGTATTCCCCCACACACCTCTGAAATACCTTGCATTTGCCCTCTCTCCAAGTTCACAGAATTCCTAAAGGAAATTTCCTGAAGGAAACCTGTTGCTGTGCTTGGTGCAGTTTGAAGCCACAGATTTATGCTGTAATCTCTGTGTCCTCCATCAGAGCTGCTGGAAATACACATATTTCCTAGATCTCTTCCTGGAGACCAAACAGGGAGTTAATAACTTGCTCATAATTTCTTTCTGCCTCCATTTGTTTTATGCCATGGCTCTGTTTTGTTCCCATAGTGGGAAGTTAGGCCATGTTTTGTTGGTAAAATAAAAATCTCAGCCTGGACACAATTGCAAAGAAGCCAAAATTGATGCAGGTCTTTGTCCCTGATGATTTCTCTTTGTGTCTGTTTTATATTTCTCTTTCAGTGTAGATGGCAGCTCTTTTGTAATAAGCATCCCAATCAAGTTTAGTAAATAGTGGGCAGAAATTTCAGTTTATATGGTAGCTCTTTTAATTGAAATTTCAGTTTAGATGGCAGCTCTTTTATAATAAGCATCCCAATCAAGTTTAGTAAATAATGGGCAGAACTGAACCCTCTGTGCCTCAGAAATCAGGGTTGGGTGATGGTTTTTCGGTTTTTAAATTGAGAGTCAGAAACTCCTCCCCTGTAGGTACAGCAACCACAGAGTGTTGGCTTAAAATGAAATGCAGATGTTCCTGTAGTTGGTCACTTCATCAAATCTAACAGTTACCATTTATATATGTATTTGGTTATTAAAATTACCACTTTTAGATGGTGGAAAACCAGAAATGATGCTTTATATTCACCACAGTGTAGTAGATAATCTGCTTTTCCTGTGTTTCCCTGCCACTCTTTGGAATTCCCATCATGTTTTCTTGGTTAATGGAGCTGCTTTTTTCAAGCAACATCTAAAAATTGCCACAGACACCTCCAATGTGTTGGGTGCACATGAAACAGTCGCCTAAATCCTTTTTGTTTAAGTCTGTGTGATTTCTATAATGAAGTAAACTTGGGCCTGTGGATCATTAAAAGCCACATTTTCCAAGGTGTTTTGACACTTGCACACATCCTTTGATGTGCAGGGAGAATTTTAAAGCTCTAAGGCACTGTCAGATTGATTTTAATGGGATCCAGATTATTAAAAGCACATAAAGACTTTGATATTAGGGATTCATGTGTGGACAGATATTACAGCTACCTTTTGTTTAATTAATTAAGCGTTGAATTAATTGTGTTTAATTACTGAACAGGAGCTGCTCAACCAGGTGTGTGGAGATTTGGTATCCACCTGTGAGAGCTACATCTCCAACATAGTCCTCAAAGAGGATGGAGCAGGGCAGCTGCAGGAAGATCTCTTGGTAAGTTTGGGGATCATTATTTTAAATATTCCCCTTCAAGGGTTATTTATTTAAAGGGTGGAGGTGTGCCTGGAGCTGGTGTTCCTCGAAATCCATGCCAAGAGCTGGGGTCATAGCAATGTGCAAGGCCTGTGTGGGTGATGAAATCTTGTGTTTAAGGGCCTGGGAGCCCACAGCAGTTTTACACACCAGCAGTTGCTTTGAGGATATGGCACCCCATGTATTTTTAATATATGACGTGGTTTTTATTTCCTTGCTTTTGCACTCAAACTTCTGAGATGAGTTGTTTGGGAGAGATGCATGGAATGCTTTGAGGAGTATTTCAGTCTCATTAGATGTGCTGGGGGCTGTTGGAGCATATTAAACACACCCACCCAGGATTTCTGTTCCAAAGCTCCCCTTCTGTTCTCCAGCCACTGCCTGGAAAGCACTGAGGGAATTTTGAGTTGTTTTTTTTGGAGAAGAACCGACTCCTGCTGGCTTCATTTGCAGCTCAGCCTTTTGACTGCAGTGCTGCTTTCTCTCTGCAGGTCAGACACCTCTTCCTGCTGGGAGAGGCTGCCCAGCTGTGCCCAGCCAAGGTGGACAAACACATCTTCCTGCTGGTCCAGTCCATCCTGGCCTCTTCTGGCAGCAAGGACCAACGTGAGCCACTCTCCTCCCTCTGCCTTTAGTGGTGCAGTTTGAAGCCACAGATTTATGCTGTAATCTCTGTGTTCTCCATCAGAGCTGCTGGAAATGCACATATTTGCTAGATTTCTTCTTGGAGACCCGCCCTGTGCTGGTGCTCACAGGGGTCTCAGGATGAGGGAAGAGATGAGAATCTTGACTCCATGCTTCAGAAGGCTGATTTATTATTTTATTATATATATTTATTATTATATTTATTATTTTATTATATATATTATTTTATATATATTATGGTATATTATATTATATATATTTAATGTATATATGGTATAATATATATAATATTAAAACTATACTAAACCTATATTATATTTAATATATTAAATATATTAAATAGAATATAGGTTTATTATAGTTTTATATTTTTAAACTATACGTATAGTTTTATATTATATATACTAGAAGAATAGAAGAAAGGATTTCATCAGAAAGCTTGAAAGAAAAGAATGATAATAAAATCTTGTGACTGACCAGAGAGTCCGAGCCAGCTGGGCTGTGGTTGGCCATTAATTAGAAACAACCCCATGAGACCAATCACAGATGCACCTGTTGCATTCCACAGCAGCAGATAACCATTGTTTGCATTTTGTTCCTGAGGCCTCCCAGCTTCTAAGGAGAAAAAATCCTAACAAAAGGATTTTTCATAAAATGTGTCTGTGACATTTAGCTTTGAATTTGCAGTCACCCCTGTGTGCCAGGCCCTGTTTGCATCCCTGCCCTGCTCTTTTCCAGTGTCTGCTTGCACAGACAGTGAGGAGATGCCCAGCTCCCAGCCTCTGTCCCAGTTCAGGGGCTCAGCCATGCCTCCCGTGGTCAGGGCTCACGCTCTCATCACTTTGGGTAAGTGCCATCATCCTGCCCTCAGAATGGCCCTTGGTGCATCTCAGCCTTTCTGGTGAAGTTCTGCCCAAAATCCTGCAGAAAAGGAGGCTCAGGGGGGACTTTGTCACTCTGCAGCTCCCTGGCAGGAGGGAGGAACCAGAGAGCAGGGACAGGACAAGAGGAAATGTTCTCCAGCTGTGCCAGGGGAGGGCAGGCTGGACATGAGGAAGAATTTGTCCATGGAAAGGGTGGTTAAACATTGGAATGGGCTGCTCAGGGAGGTTTGGAGTCCCCATCCCTGGAGGTGTCCAAGGAATGCCTGGATGTGGTACTCAGAGCTCTGGGATCAGTCACAGGTTGGACTCAATGATCCCAGAGGTCTTCTCCAACCTAAATAATTCCATGTAAAGCTGTGGCAGTTGTGACAGCCCCAGTGCTCTGTGGGCATTAGCCCAGCTCAGAGCTTTCAGCAATGCAAATATCCATGGAAACAAGTTGGGCAAACCATCAGAACTCTACCAGCTCTGCTCCTCCAGGTGGTTAATGCATTGATAGTGACCAATAATCAGCACTGTCCCTCAGAGCTGTGCTGTTGTTGTACTCAGAGCTGGGTGCTGAAGGATCATCTCACTTTCAGTAAGATATTCTAGAGAGGGTGAAAAAAACTTGGTGCTGTTGATGTAGCTTAGAGCAGGATGACTGCACTCAAATTCTTGTTCTCCTCAACGTGAGGGAAATGCTGCTTTCAGAGGAGCCTGGCCAGCTGCATTCCCAGCATTCTGAGGAATACCAAGTGCAAGTTCTGGGTTTAATACTTCCTTGGTGAGGAACAAGTTTCTTTTGCAGATAGGCAGCATTATTCTTCCCTTAATTGCTTTGGAAAGTTTAATACTTTTGTGCAGAGCTTGGGAGCGGGGAGAAGTGATGTTAGAACTATTGCAGGCTATTTTATTTTAGGTTGGTTCAGTGATGCTCTCAGAGGTGGGTGTCTCCCTGCTATGCCTATGACAGCTGGGGCTGTTCTTTTTAGCTGCTTTGAATAATACCCTGTACACAGAAATAGTTTGCTGTGAAGGAGGGAATTTGGCATAGAGACCCACTCTATAGGTCTAAGGGGAGTTTGGAAGAACTTGAAGTACCATCTCCCTGAGAGATCGTGCAGATTGCTCATCAAGTTCCAGCATGAGTTTCTTGTTTATTCCCTTGTTTACTTCCTGATTCCTTCCCTGGCTCGTTTTGGAGGCAGCGAGCTGGGCTGGCTGGGAAGGAGAATTTATCCCAGCTCTGCTGCTCTGCACTGCTGATGCCTTGGAGTGGCTGCCTAGAGCAGAGGATAGACAGAGTTAAGGGAATAAAGTGAAAATTTATTAAAAACCTTTAATAGATGCACCTTGGGCAGGGTTACAGAGGCTACACCCAAAATGGACAATGGTCATGAGGTCTTGTATTTGTGGGGTTCCCAGATGGAGGAAGGAATGATGAATATGACTCCATGTTCTTAGAAGCCTAATTTATTATTTTATAATACTATATTGTATTAAAGAATACTATACTAAACTATAATGAAGAATAGAGAAAGGATACTTACAGAAAGCTAAAAAGATAATAATGAAAACTCACGACTCTTTTCAGAGTCCTGACACAGCTTGGCCCCGTTTGGCCATTGAGTCAAAACAATTCACATGAAACCAATGAAACAATCTCCAGCCACATTCCAAAGGGGCAAAACACAGGAGAAGCAAATGAGATAATTATTGTTTTCCTTTTTCTCTGAGACTTCTCAGCTTCCCAGGAGAAGAAACATGGGCAAAGGGATTTTTCCAGAAAATATAACTGCCACAATGAGGTTTTCAGACAGATTTAAGTTTGGTCTATTCACATATCAGAGGTTAATCCTCCAATTACAGCTTCAGCTAATGAAGTCATTCATAGTTTCTTGAAGCCTCTTCCCTCCACGCAGCCCTAGCAGGCCTGGAGCCTGTTACAACAAGTGGTTGTGGAAGAGATAAGGAAAGAACCTGCTTTCATCCAAGTCCAAGAAAGGAAGGAGTCAAACCCCCATGTGTTGGTTTCAAGCCAACTGCATGGACCACTTATGCTTCTTTCTCATGAAGAGATGTTAGTAAAACAATTCCATAGCCTTGTCAAGACTAAATTGCAGCTGAAAACCCAGCACATCTCTACCTAAATATGGCCAACCACTCAGAACTTAACTTCCAAGACGCTTCCTCACCTATCATAGAAGAGCCGATAGGATTCCATGACCATGCCCTAATGTGAGGGTGTTCACAGGGGTTCTTGGATGAGGGAAGAGATGAGGATCTGACTCCGTGCTTTAGAAGGCTTGATTTATTATTTTATGATATATATTACATTAAAACTATACTAAAAGAATAGAAGAAAAGGTTTCATCACAAGGCTGGCTAGGAATAGAATAGGAAGGAATGATAACAAAGGTTTGTGGCTTGGCTCTCTGTCCGAGCCAGCTGACTGTGATTGGCCATTAATTAGAAACAACCACATGAGACCAATCCCAGATGCACCTGTTGCATTCCACAGCAGCAGATAATCAATGTTTACATTTTGTTCCTGAGGCCTCCCAGCTTCTCAGGAGGAAAAATCCTAAGGAAAGGATTTTCCATAAGCAATGTCTGCGACACCCTAATGGTTGCACTAGCAATCTGCAGCCTAGTCCTCTACCTGTTAACCCACACACTCACAGAAAAACTATCATCAAGAATAAGGATAAGGAAAACTGCCCACTAAACAGAAGACAACTATACAGATGGCAAACAGAATCCATCTTGCCTTGCAATCTGGGACATGCACCCTAATGATGCACTAGCAAGCCAATTAGCCACCATGTCCATCATCCTCCTTCCTATCTCCCATATTATCCTTACCATTATCTAAGAAACTCAGGATTACCTAAACCTTCAAAGCCTTAAACGGGAGTTAGCACAGGCTCTGAAAACCACAAAAACTTGAAACTCCAGCGGCGT